CACACCAGGTTGCTCCAAGGCCCCTACAACCTGGCCTTGAACCCCTCCAGGGATGGGGCAGCCACAGCTTCTCGGGGCAACCTGGGCCAGGCTCTCACCACCCTCATTGTAAAAAATTGTAAATGTCCCCTCTTTTTCAGTTTAATACTGTTCCTTCTTGTCCTGTTACAGCAGGCCCTGGTAAAAAGTCTTAGATTTTTTAATAATCCCCCTTTATATATAGGAAGGCTGCAACCAGATCTCCCTGGAGCTTTCTCTTCTCCAGGCTGAACCCCCCTAACTCTCTCAGCCTGTCCTTACAGCAGATGGGCCCAGCCTTCCCAGCATCTTCTTGGCCTCCTCTGGCCCCACTCCAACAGGTCCATGTCCTTTTGATGTTGGTGGCCCCAGAACTGGAGGCAGCGCTGGGGGGCTCTCCCCTGGGCGTAGAAGAGGGGCGGAATGCCCTGCTGGCCACACTGCTGGGGACACAGCCCTGACTGTGGTGGGCTTTCTGGGCTGCCAGTGCACTTTGCCAGCTCGTGTAATTTTTTGTCCACCAGGATTCCCAAGTCATTCTCCTCTGGGCTGCTTGATCCTTTTAGTGCCCAGTCTGTGCTGATGCTGGGGACTGCCCTAGTGGTTGACTTGAAAAAAAATCTTTCCACCATGAGACATCATCTGGAGTCACGTTGTCAAACTTTCCATAGGCTGTGGCAGAGGAAAATCCTCTGGAGAGCCTGGAAGGAGGATTGTGGGGTAGCTTTGCAAGATTTACCGAACGTTTTATGTAGGACACCTCTGCAAAACTGTATGTCAGACACACCGCTTCCAGACGCTATGCTTTTGGTAGTGAATGGCAAAATTCTTTTTGCTAATACCTAGTGGCAAGTTTCACTACTAAAGGAACCTAAAAAAGAGGCTGGGACAAAAGGCCTATTTCTTATCCCTATAAGCTTCCTAGCTCATGTAAATTTACTGAGGAACTGTGCACTAAGGCTTTACAGTACTGGGGCAAGAGATCAAATATTTTCATTTACCATTATAATTGTATCTCAACCTTTGGCAAATATTTGTTATAGATAATTATGAAAAGCCATTTTAAAATCTAAAAGTGTAATATCTTATATTTTTATTCATATATGTATCAATTTGTGTATGTATACATACATATAAAAACATATAAAATTTATTTTCTTTGTGAAATTTAAGACACATGCATCCAATATATTACCTATTAAATGCGAAGTTTGCATCCTGTATGCCAAGATCCTGATTTTGGAGTTGATCTCATGTGGATAGACCCTATTGACTTCTGCGAATTCCTCAGAATAAAGTCCTCAGAATAAAGTGGAGATTCATAAGGTTCAGTTATACAGGCTAAAGGAGAAAGTGTATTAAAAGCAAAGATAACATTAAATTATTTGGGGTTAGGGGTTTGGAAATTGAACTTGTCGTTCGTTCCTCCTCCTTTTCTTAGATGTGAGGGACATTATTAAGTTGGTGAAGATGAGTTACCTGAGCAAGTACCTCAGGTACCTACTTTCTCTACCATTAGTTCTATATCTAGCTCTATATATTTATACATTTTATATAAAGCTTCTTTAAGAATGTAGAAAATGTCAGATTATGTTGCTAAATTAAACTTGGGACCTTCAGAGACAGCTCCAAGGCTTCCAAACGTTGCCCTAAGCTTGTTAGTTTAGAAAGCAAACAGAGTAACAGCTTTTTTTGTTTTTCTCTAGGTACCAAGTTTAACCTTTTTAAGTAAATGGCTTCTCTTAGCTTATTTACTATTCTTTGATACATTTTTCTGTGGTTAAAACAGCTTAAGACAACCTAGCCAAAGAAAAACAGTGCTTCTCCTTGTTATTTTATAGCATTCCTTGTTCTCTCTGTTCATCCGGTGGGATGGTTCATTCTCCCTTCCTAGTTGTTTTCTGCACTGTATCTGTTATTGCTTCCTGTACATTAGTATGCACTTCTGCATTTTTCATCCTGTTTTTCCAGGCTTTTTGCTGTCAGCCCTCTTCTCTCGTTTTGTATTGTGGGGAAGAAAGGCTGCAAAAAGGATGACATGGATTTGTTTTTGATCATGTCTCTTACTACACTGTATTGAGGAGTGAGGCTGGCACAGAGGAAGCAGGGTTTTGAAGGATGCCTGTAAAACTCTTCCCGACAGGCGCAGAGCGCTTCCCACCACGTGCAGAGCCATCCCAGACACGTGCAGAGCACTTCCCACCACGTGCAGAGCCATCCCAGACACGTGCAGAGCACTTCCCACCACGTGCAGAGCCATCCCAGACACGTGCAGAGCACTTCCCACCACGTGCAGAGCCATCCCAGACACGTGCAGAGCACTTCCCACCACGTGCAGAGCCATCCCAGACACGTGCAGAGCACTTCCCACCACGTGCAGAGCCATCCCAGACACGTGCAGAGCACTTCCCACCACGTGCAGAGCCATCCCAGACACGTGCAGAGCACTTCCCACCACGTGCAGAGCCATCCCAGACACGTGCAGAGCACTTCCCACCACGTGCAGAGCCATCCCAGACACGTGCAGAGCACTTCCCACCACGTGCAGAGCCATCCCAGACACGCTGGCAACTTGGTGCTTACAGAGGTCTCTGCAGGGGCTGCAGGCAGAGGTTCAGGTCTTTATCTCCTCTGGAAGGTGACAGTGTCCCACTGTTGTTCTGACACTGCCCTGCACCATAGTGTGCTCTCCTGGAATAAGCAGGGGTCTCTGATGCTGAACATCTCACTACCATGCCTTTCAGAGAGCGTGGGACTCCCAAGCCCCCTCCCCAGGTGCTGTACTTGTTGACTGTAGCAGTAGTTGCTGTCGCTTAGCAGTGCTGGTAACTCACTGCTTTGTTTCTAATGAATACACCAAGATTAATCTCCTGACGTATCTCCCAGGTGCTCCAGGCACTGCCTGCAGGGAGCCTGAGTGGGAAATGTTCTGGAGTTGCCTGGAGCTCCTGCCATGCCCCGCTGCTCCTGCCTGTGGGCACTGGTGTACCTCCTGCAATGAGTCCTGGCAGGCTGGAGGGGACTGTCGGCCTTTGGGAGCAGGAACGAAGGAGCAATAGGCTTAGGAGGAAGAACTGAATGAGTGGCTTTTCAGGGGATTTAGTGACACAGCTTTTACTTCTTTGAGCATGGAATGATGTTCTATGATCTCTGCTGGGCAATGTAATCTCAGAAAGAGGGCAAAAAAACCTTGGCGTAAAATCTTCCTGACTTAAGGATGAGAACTTTACATTTGGATTTATGGGAATAAAAGCCCACAGATGAACAAAGCTACCTAAAAGCCTAAAATCTGGGAGAAAGGAGATTATTCATGCTAAGCTCATTGGAGGGATAAAATGGAAGAAATTAGGGGATCAAACTACTGAATGTTTTTTGTGTAAGGTATATAGAGAATAAAAAAGTAGTCATAATTAAAAATCAAAGCTATAACCTGGTTAGCATAACACTGACTTGTTGGAATTAATTTGCATGTTGAGGAGATTAGTGGGGAAGAAAGCAGGATTGACAAGCAGGAGGAGAGGAGGAAGCCTTCCTCAGTGTAGGTGGTGTATCCTCGCAAGTTCAGAGAGTGGGAACTGCAGAGGGATTGCCTGTGGAAACTGTAGCTGGTGATTAGAGGGGAAGGAAGATGCAGTTCTGTTTTGGTGGGAGTCTGGCACAAGCCAATGAGCCAGGAAAATCTGTTGATTAATATTAGGCAGCTATGAATCTGAGGCTACCTTGGGTGCGCTGCTCTCCTTTTCTGTTGGCAAACCTTGTTCAGACAGGATTTGCAGCCTTGGTGTCCTGGGTTTGTTCTGACATAGCTGCTGGTCTTCTCAGTCCCTGGCTCCCCCAGTTTTAACTGTGTACATAAAATGCCTTGGGTTAAAGTGACCATGAAATGGTGGAAGTTATCCTTCTGAGGAAGCAGGTGAGGGGGAAGAGAAATAGAGGTAGTGGATTTTAGGAATGTGAATGTAAGGTCAAAGGAGGACTCCATGAAAAACATGAGGTAACTGTTGTTTGGGGAGTATGGCAATCCCTCAAGCAGACTTCTGTAAAGGGATCATTGTAAGGTATCTCCACTGGGTGCTGAAAGACGGGCTTGGTTAAATCTTCATCGACTTCAAATGTTTTTTCAGCAAAACTACTTCCTCTGGGGTTTTCTGGACAAGTGTTTGAATACTGTCATGGTCTTTCAAATACTGATGGTAGGATGGCAGACAGAGGACATTATAATCCGTACTGCATGCAGCGGAAACCAAGGATGATGTTTTCCTTGCAATTTAGTGCCTTTCTCTTTTTTAAAGAAGTACATTGTTTTCCCAGGGGCCTACAGAATTTTAATAGAGAAATCATGCTGTACATACGGCTGGAGATTCAGTGGGAAATGGAACTGAAACTCACTCTGTTTACATATAGTTAGTAGTTTATATTACCTTTTTGAAGCAAATTACTCCTATTGTTTGTCCATTGATTATAATAAATATTGAAGTAGTTTTCCAATTTGTGAAATGAGAATGCGTATATTGAAACTTTGGTATTTCTGTATTAGAACTCACTAAAAATCCAGTAAACCCAGTTTACAGTGAATTATTCTTTAAGCTCACATATAAAAAAATTTTTAAAATAAGATCTTTGTAAAAAGAAAAATTATTAATGTTTCTTATATAATTTCTACTGTCTTGTTTGTTTCAAATTCTTATTCACAAGTAACAATCTCTTTGTTATCAAAACCTTTAATGTTTAAATTGTACTTTTTGTAATTTCTATCTATAATGCTTTCATGACTCACGCTTAAAATATTACCCCAGAATTTGAAATGACTGTATATGTTCTATGTGATAACTAGAAAATCAGGTGATTCCTATGAGAAATGGTGTTGGCAGCCAGAAGTATAAACCTGTTGACTACAAACAACTATATGAACTTGCTGCAGTAGAAAAAATGGCATCTGCAAAAATTAAGTTAAAGGTATGATTTTTATATTATTTGTAATATGAATGATTTTAAAATTCAATGATCATATTTCTTTTCACTGCCCCAAGGAATCTGAGAATGAATAGGGATAACAAATTGCTGTAACAGCATTCGGCAAGAGGGGGCAAAAGACAAGAGTTTATCACAGTTATTGTGATTTGGACACATTAATGTCAGTATGGAATTTCTTTGAGTCAGAGATGCAAAGTATTTGTGGATTCTGCTTCCCCAAAAGACAGGAAAGGTTCGTACTTGAGTGCTTTGAGGAAATTCATCCAGACTCGTGACAAACTACTCAAAATACTGGGGGTAATGAAGAATTTATGGGAATAAATGGGAAGGGGAGGTTGATTCAGTGGGTGGTTCCACGTGAGTTGAAAATAACAAAGCAATTTAGTATGTTAAGAAAAGAAATACAGTTTTGGAAGCATTTTTGGCAATGATACACCCAAAGTCTTCAATGATGCGCAAGTTAATTAGAGCACAAGGTGAAGAGAAGAATTTGTAAACCCAAGAAAGAAACTGGAAAGTGGAGACCAGTCTCTAACTATGGTGGGGGCCATGGAGAACACTGGTAATTCTCCAGGCAGCCTCACTGCATCCTTCCTGGCGGTGCAGGTTGCAGCAGGAGTGACCGGCTGCTGGGGGACACCAGGCAATCAGCAGGCAGAGCAGGGAGGCTGAGTGCTGAGACTGCAGTGCTGGGGAAGTCACAGAGTGACTCTGAGAGCCCCAGGCCCAGTGGGTAGAACCAGTCTGGTTAAACCAAGGAAGCTTTTAAAACACGACAGGCGTGAGTGTCTTTGTATCTTGCTTCCTAGTGTGTCCCCTAGGAATAGGTATTGCCTAGCTTGTCAGTCTCTGTTACATGCAACATGGGAGAGCTGAGGAATTTGGTATCTTTATTTTTTTTAATGTTATTTTTTGAATATTGTGCCATTCTGAGGGGGTGGTTCTGATTGCTTCCAGCATTACATACAAACCAATAGGGAAAACATGGAGTATTTTTGTGAACAAGCTCCTTAAACAGCAAACCCAAGTGTATGAGAAGACCACGGCTCATCTTAGCTCTCACCAGTTGTACACTAAATAGTTTGTTTGTGATATTGTGCTGGGCAGAAAATAACGTATTTAATATCAACACGGTTGCCTTGAAAAAATAAATTCTTTGAAACCTATTTATGAGTTTAGGTGTTTTCCCTACAGCTTACCGTCATGCTGTGGCTACTGAGCCACCACAGAGTTTGAAGTGATGCAGTTCTTTTTTCCACGGGACAGCCAAGAGGTGGATGTAGCTGTACCCTGGGCTGTGCAGAACCACTTGAGTGTGGCAGCTCCCTGGGGCAGCGCTGAAGCGAGACGGTGGTGAGGAACAAACAGGTTTTGGTGTTAGTTGTGCATGTCCAGAAACATTCTTCGGATTTGTGTTTTTAAGAACTTCCCTTGAAAAAATTGTTCTTTTTTTTTTTTGGAAGGAGAATATATACCAAGCTGCCAGAAATGCAGATTCCAAGAAGGATCCAAGAAGTCTCAGGCCTCTCTGGAGCCCCTCTGTTTATTTTTCAGTTGTGTGGAAATAGTGTAAAATGTTGATCCAGAAACACTGTAGAGGGATAACTCTTTGTAGGAGTGGAACTGCTTCTGGTGTGTAACTGTTTCACTGATGACTGTTACCTCTTTAAAAGAAAATAAAAATCAAATTGACAGAACAAAGTGATTTCTGAAGAAATTGCCACTGATACATGTTCAGCTGAAATGGTTCCTTTAGGCTGAGAAACAAAATAGAAGAGGAAAGAAATTATCAATTTGAAACAGGCCCCTCAGCAGTAATGTTATTTGAATGCTTTTTCAGAAACCTGCAAAGCCAGTGTAAGGCTAACAGAGTTTTGTATGCTCGTTAAACACGGTAGTTTATTGTCTCTCCAGTCTTTGGCTGTTCCTCTGAGCAGTTGCTGTTTTGTGGATGGCTGTTGGAATGAAAAGCTGTGTGAAGGGTCTAGAAACTGTGCAAAAGGCAGTGACGAAGGTTCTCTTGTGCAGATGCCTAAGGGACCTGCTCAGATGATGTCTTTGGTGTGTCTAAAATATAATTCAGAGTCTTCATTCAGACAGGATGGCAGAATTCAAAGGGAAATTTGCTGAAGAAATATGGGATTCTGATAAAGTTCTAAAAAAACCAAAATTTCCTTTAAATTCCTGTCTAAAACATATTTAGAAGTTCTTTGAACAGAAGTTATTAAATGAAATATATTGGTTAGCAACAGAGACATATCCTTTTTTTTTTCTGTGCTTCTGATGCTGTTTCTTAAACTTCAGTAAACGGAATATATAGAGTACCAACAAGCGTAATTTACTAGTTTACACTGCTGTCCTGAAGGCCTTGCTCATGCAGCTCCTCTTTCTGTAGTTAAAATAGAAAAGGATGACAGCAAGTGAGAGAAAAAATACATACCTTCTTTATATTATTGCTTCCTTTAATGTATGTAAGTATAATATATCAAAAGCTCTGGCAGATATTTCTTCATGGATTTGCAATACAAAATTCTACTGAATTCATTGAAGCTTTAAAGTAATTTTTCATCATCTGTCTTTTGGTATTTCACCTTTTCAAATGTTTTACAACTGAGTAGGTAGTAATATATACGCTGAAAGCTCCACTGAGAATGGAATGTGTTTCCACCTACTACTCTTTTGTTGCTGATTCAGGCTATCCAAATTTTGAAGTGCTGGGTTGAAGTAGAACCAAATAAGCAAATGGTTACTCAGTTGACCACTTCAGAAAAATACAGCATGTACAGACAAAAGCTAGTATTGCAGTAGTTATACATAAATGTCATTGCTGTTGCTAGAAAATAATTTAAGCATATTAAACTTTATATACAGAACTACTTCAACTTTTGTTTCCCATTAGTTTTGAAGATCTATGTGTTTTCAAATTACTTTATTTAAAGTATTCTGTTTGCTGAAGTCTGGTAATGGTAACCAAGAGGAAGCTGTAAGTAACTTTTTAAACATGAAAATGTGTAAGCAATAAAAATGAGACATTGTCTTTGATTCAGAAGTATTGTAACATACTGATTGGGAGCATAAAACAGGTATTTTCAAATTCCTATAGTACAGTCACGTATGCAGCTTCCTATAAACACCCTGTTTCTCAGTCCCAGCCACAGAATCCCTCCCCAGCACCTATTGCCCCTTCTTACCCCAACACCCCCTGCAGCGCGTGTGCTGCACAAACACGATGGATTGGCCAAATTCTACTCGTGGTTCTTCCTTAGGTGACTGTCGAGAAACCAGCCATATTCAACCACATCTATGAAACTTGTTCATTTGAGAGGTGGAAATGTTTCTTGTTTCAAAATTGTAGTGGTTTTGTTTTCAAGTAAGATTTTAGCTTTAATTTTAGCTTTTTGTTGGTGGGTGAATGGGAGGCTGTGATTGGAGCAGCGATGGGATCCACACTTACCGGTGTGGGAGCACTGCATGGAGCGGTTGGAAGCTTTCCTGGCTGGGAAGGGTGGGGGAGCAGAGAACACCCTGGGGTTTGCTCTGTGGTTCCTGTTGGTGTGAAGGCAGAGGGGACACTGCCTGGGTTTGTCCCGCTTCCACCAGGCAGGAAGGCTGACTAAGCATTTGTAACAGCAAATCCCTTCCGCCTGAGCCATGTGGAAAACTAGCATTTTTGACTCAGAACGTCATTTCTTTCCTGAACTAGATGTGGAGTGACATCTTTATTCATTTCTCCCTGTTATGAACTAGGACAAGAGTTACCAAATACTTTTTCTTGCCTTGCTGCCATTCTTCAGTAGAAACTGTACCTGTGTGAAGGAAGGTCTGGGGAGGAAAAAAAGGGGGGGTGTGTGTGAATTGTGGGAGCCTCTGGAATCAGAGAGGGGTTTGCAGGCAGAAGAAGTTGGCTGGGGCAGGGAGGAGGTCTGTGTTACAGAGGAACCTGGTGGCTTGGCAGCAAAAAGAGAAGGGGCAGGAAAGGAGCCCATTCTGAACTGAGAGGCCAGAAGACAGCCCTGGTGGCACGAGGACGAGAGATGAGTGACTTGTCTCAGGGGCTTCTGGCAGCCACTGCTGCTTCTGATCTTCTTCCTTCCTGGACAGTTGGCTGGAGTCACCTGGCTGCTGCTTCATCAGCCTTCCCCCAACGGCTTTGCCTCTAGTTTAAGCTGTAATTCAATCTATCTCAAAAGCACGTATTTCTACTTTACCTGAAGTTGGAAGCTATTTTTTTGTGAAGCTCTCAGACAGTTTCAGAGCCTCTTTAATTGGATAGATTTTGAAAAAGCACTCTTTTTTGGTAATCAATTTTTGAAATTCTTTTTCTTGAAAGACACACTTTCACTCTTTCATCTTCCCATCTGTAAGAAAGTTCTCCTGCTTGTCTTCCTTCCTTCACCTCCTGGGAAATAGGAATGGGAAAGAAGAAAGAGTACTGCATTTTTTCACTTTCTCCTCTCATTTAATTGTGATTTGAATGGAATAAATTTTTTTCATGAAAATTGGTTACACCAGAACCTGTAATTCTTAGAAAAAAACATTTTGAAAAAGGCTTTTCGGTTTGCCATTCTGAAGATAAAAATTTCCGGAGGAAGGCATTTGATAAAGTTATTGAGCAGATTCAAAATACTTACAACCTTTAGTTTTTCCTGCAGATTAAAAAAACAGAGCAAGTTTCAAAAATTAACAAGGAGCAAATGCTGCTGAAACAGCATCAGCGAGTGTGGTGGCAAGAGCATAAAAGACTGAGTGAGACCAGGTAAGAGCTGAGGAATCTTAATTAGCCATTGTTAAAGAACTACTTCAGCAGACAGGGGATTCTGGTGTACCAGACACTAAGAGGAGATGAAAATCTCTGAACTGAGGGTAACTTGTTGTGCAGGGCAGGAGAGTTTGTGACCTGCCTTGAACGGGTCTGTAGCCATGAAGAGAACACGTAAAGGGAGGGGAGAATGGAGTAGATGATGTTCTGCACGTTCCTCTCCGTGATGATCCTATAGTGGTTTAGTTGACCTATCAACATCTGAAGAACACATATTTGTAGGAGTATCAGAGATACTTTTTAATTCCTTCAGAGTCTGTCTCTAGATCTAGAGTGTCTCTAGATAGGCATTTTCAGTTCCCCCTTACAACAGGGACTATTAATACTGGCCTTGTCTATGAGCTTCCATATTGTATATACAGCAGATCAATAAGACCGTTTTTTGCTCAGAGGAGGGTGGCTTCTATACCACTGTCCTGTCTAAGTCCTGCAATTCATACCTTCCCACACAAAGAATCCCTCTTTTTCCTTAATTATTAGAGTATTTCAGGTTTATTATTCTTGAAAACTTAATAAATTAGAAATTAAAGCTTCCGTAAAACTCATATTCATGTCTTCCAGGCAAAAAGCAGAAGCAGAAATAAAGACTTTTCTTGATGAAGAAAGCCATAAGCACAACTTTTTTTTGGATATGAGGGACTTGGGTAAGATTTTATTAATTTGATTGTTTATTATAGTCAAAATTATCTTTATTAATTTTTTTGAGTTTTTAAATCCCTGTTTTGAGAGGTTTAGATTTAGAAAGCACAGTGCTGTGTAATATTTTGTGTGTTTGAGAAAGCTTTATGTTTCATTTGGATCTAGAGCGTAAATTATCAAAGGAGCGGGATACATACCAAAAAAATACTGTAGTTCCTATCTGGCAACTAAAAGAGAATTTGAAATTCAGGCTGTCTGAAATGCAGTGTTCCCTCTCAGAAGAATCTTGTCTGAAATCTAAGTTCAATCCAGTTGAGATGTTACAGCAGGTTGGTATTTTAACTTTATTTTTACAATTTATTATAACTGTATTTTTAGCATTTTCATTTATTTTTATGTAATACTTGGAGAATATAACTTCAAAGTATCCAGTAACCTCTGTACTCGCTGTAGTGCAGATCTATGTCACTAAAAGTTGTAGAAGCACCACAGTGTAGAACTGGAAATCAGGCTCTTTGTTTCTAAGTAAGAGCTTTCACGTTACAAGATAAAGAAATAACAGTAACATATTTCATATAATAGATCAAACTTGTGAAGAAGCAACAGAAGGCAATTTTGGAATTCCTTAAACTTGAAAGTCTGGCCTTGGAAAGAGAGCTTGAAGACTGTAAAACAAAAGTAAGCTTTTCTTTATAAGTTTAATTAGCAATTTTTTTGGAGAAAGTATAATGCAGACTAGTCTGCTGAGTAGCTTTTTTTCATGACAGGCATTAGCGCATTCTTTTGAAGAGAAAAATGGACTTTTCCTTGAAGTTCCTGCAGCACTACTGTCTCTGGAATGCCCCTATCCTGATTTGAAGGCCTTACTGATCAGTGAATACCGAAAGCTCGCGAGTGGGTACTGGTCTAAGCTGCAGGAGATTGATCACCAGTTAAAAGTTTTATACAGGTAATGACATCTCTTGCTGCATTGTTTTTGTTGGGTATAAAATAAATAACTACAATATATTTTGTAATCTCTAGACCCTACAGTTGCCTTTCCCATGAGAGCTGCTTCTGGTCTGTGCGGGGCAGGGAACGGGGACACAGTGCCCAGGGCTCTGGGGTTAAACACTCTGCAGCGGAGGGGGCTGCACAGTCCTTTCAAATGCTCTCATCTCAAATAATAACCAAAATGTTTTGTGGATTAAAGAACCAACAATCTGCTGTGCATCAAATGTCCTCTTCACATGCTTTTGTATGAATATAAATAATTCTTTCTGTGTGGTAATTACACTATCAAATTTATGTCAGAAAAGTACAGTCTTTCCAAGAGAGATTTAGAATGTACTTATCTATAAAGCAGATAAATAGGTCCACTCTTTTAACAAATTTTGGATCACTGCAGTAATTCTCATCACAAAGAAATGTAAAAAATGTATGTAGCTCTGATTCAGAATAACTGAAAGGAGGAAAGATTTTTCTGTAAATGAAAAAGTTTAGAAAGAACATACTCACAATGATCTAGAAATGTAACATACCTGTATATTAACAGTAGGAAGCTTAGCTTTTCTGCTGAGGTTGACTCGACTCCAGGAGATATTGAGTTGCAGATACTGGACCAGCCTTGGCTGCTTCTTGCCATCTACTGACATCCCTTAGGATGGCATCAGGGTTTAAGAAGACTGAGAATAGAAGGGTCAGTGGAATTGCTTGAAGCCTGGGCAGAAGAAACCATGGAGAGCAGGAAAGTCCCTAAGTTCCTTTGGTAAAACAACTACAGGCTGCTTCTAAATCTCTGCACCTAAAGTGCAGCACTTAAATCCTCTGCTACTGCTGCTGCAATAGTGTGAGGGTGCTGAAACAGGCTTTAGATGTTGGATCCCGTAGCAAGTGATGTTATAATCTACTTCTCCTTTGTATAAATTGTACAGATATTAGGTAGATTGTCCTGTTACCTGAAACCTGATTTTTTTTTTTTACTGTAATGTCCTAGCTGTTATAACATGATACTTATTAACAATTGTTCTGATCTTTCTTATATTTATAGCATTTATTAAGCAGCAAGTCACAAATTTACAGCAGTTTTGCTGTCTGATTTTTGTCACAGTTGCTGTTACAGAAGAAGTTTTAATAATCTCTGTGAGAAAATCTGTGACAAATACTAAATCATTAAATATGTACAAAGTCTTCCCAGTGGTTTTAATTAAAATTGTGTAAAAGTTTATGATCAACACAAATTTGGTGAAAATTCATAACTCTAGATCCCTTGATTCACATGGCATGTGTGCTGCTGAATAATAGACAAACAGCAATGCAGACAACAGAATCTATGAAAACGGGTGAAAAATCTGCCCTGGTACTTTCATTGATCATATGCCAGGTTTTGGTCTTGAGCTGGCTAATGTTGCACTGATAATTGAGTGACATCAAGATGTAAAAATAAAGTCTCATATTTGTAAGGGAAAGCAAGTCAGTTGTAGGCGTGCAGGCATGTGGTAGTTTGAAGGAATTAAGTAGTGATTCCTAGATGGAAAAAGGGAAGGGCTGTAGCTGGAGGAGGTGTCGGTGGTGGCCCTGGCAGCGACCTGCTGATGGGGGGGAAGGGCAGGTTACTCAGCACAGGTTGCCCAGTTTGGAACAGCGTGTGCCAGTACTATTAGCTGGGAATGTATGACATCATAAATGAACCATTAGCAATTACCTTAGGAGTTTTATTTAAAGCTAGATCTTGGTCTTTGTTTGTTTGTTTGCCTTGTGGTCTCCAAATATTCAATGTATTGCTCATTTATGTTTCTATGACTTTATCCACAACGTTAAAAATGTGTTGTTGATGAAAAGAGCAAGAATTTGTTCTTGTAGAATTGCTTACTTCCAAGATCTGGGTTTTATAAAAGACACAACGCTCTTTGTCACTTCTTACATGTACATTGGCTAATTTGCAGGAAAATATTTTGAGTTTGCAAAGATACAGCCTTCTGATTTAAGTATTCTATAATTCACCAAGCTAACTAGGATCCAACTAACACAGATAATTACTGTCAAAACCTGAGTGACATATATTTGTGATCCTGGTATGTATCTGCTGTGCTCTACTGATTAATATAGCCTTAATGAAACCTTTGCAATTATTGTCATTGCTCTACACACAAAGATACCAAACATTCTCCTGCAATGCATTTTTTCTTCATTTTTGTAATTTGAGAAATTGTTGAATAGAACAATATGAGACTATGATAACATGATAACTTAATCCCTTCATCTGAGGATTATGTCTCTGTAGTTCTTCCTTTCTCATCATATGCTTGAATGTACAGTATAGAAACCTTCAGTAATGCTTGACCTCTGGTGTTGCACCTCTCACTGTTTAACTCTTCAGAATGTCTGCAACAGAAAATTTGGAAAATGTACATAGATTTTTTTCAGGGAAGAAAAATCAAAATAATGTTCTGGTCTGCTATATTTGTGTACTTTTCAGTCCTACTAGAATGCATGTTCCAGTGCTTATTGCTTTTAGAAACTGAAGAAGAATTTGGGTTTTTTTCCAAGCATAATATAAGATTATAACGTTTAGTAATCTAAATTCACTTCTCTTACTGCTGCTAAAACACAAATGTTTGTGTTTGCAAAATACCCGGGTCCTGAGTTATCCCACAAAATGTGGACTTTGAATTGATGTGTTTGTTATAGCTGATGATTCTCTAAGCACTATTGTATTTTACCACAACTTTCAAGGATGTCTGAATTATTTAAATAACTGGGGGATGAATGGAGCGTTGCATGTTCAGCACTGTATCCTCTGCAGCATCCTTTCAAATGAATGGGGTATTAGGACTAAGTCAAGTAACCTTAGTTCCTCTTTTCAGGCCCATTAACAGGATGTTTCTGGTAGGACAATCGGCACTGACATAATTAATGGTCGGGGAGGTTAATGTCTCACTCGGTGGTTATTGTCTGTCTGTCTGCAGGCTCGAGGAGACAACGGCCATATACATGGCTATGGCAAAGGCTGTGTGGGGATTACAGGGTGCAGAGGGTGGCTTCCCTTCTGACTTGTTTGTATTCTTTGGAGTGTGTAAAGCCAGGGATTAATGCTGGGTAAATCTGTTTCAAAGGAAGCAGCTGCCTCAGGGTTGTTGAACATGAGACAATTGCTGTGTTTCAGTTCTAAACAAAATAAAGATTGTACTGTTTTCTAGTAGAATGGTACATACAAGAAAAGCAAGCACTCCGTTTGAAATTTGGGTCATGCATTCAGCCTTGTAAAAGTTTGTCAATATCTTGACACTGAAGAAGCCTGATACTAGCTTAAATATTAATGAAAAACGTGTTGGCAGTTTTCAAACTGGTTTTAGATGAGATCTGCCTTTCTGGAATGTTACAAAAGTTTAAGTGAGATAACATCTTGAATTCAATCAGACAGGATATTTAGACATTCTCCATGCATTTAATGGTTATGAATACACTGGGCTGGATCATACTGTGGTTTGGTTTTTTTCTTTCCTTTATTTGGCTATTTCCCTATGTGCAGCTGACAAAATCTCAGCCCAGCTGACAAATTTTGGCACAGGTGACAAACCAAGACATTGGCAGTCAGTTTGTCCCTACGTACAATAAGCTACTTGTGGCTCTAGCTATAGCTGAGTGTCCCCAGAGGATCCTCCACAAACCCTGAATTCTGTCTTGTTCCCGAGTCGTGCAGAGGCTCGTTGTTAGCTGGCCATGAGGGGAATATATGAGCAGGAGGGAACTTGGGAGAGATGGGAGGCACAGGAGGCAGAAACTGGTGCGTCTGCCCGTGTGCTGGAGGCAGAGCAGATCACCAGCCTGGCTTCGGACCACAGTGCCTGGGGTTTTCCTTGCTCCCAAGCTCGGGTGTAAGATGGATCTTGCTCTGCCTTACTCTTCTGGTAGACAGAAGCCCTGCTGTTGTTCTCCAGCCTGCATGGCCTGAAACACCTACGGTCGATTATTGCAAAAGAGAATCTCAGCTCTGAGAACTGTCTTGTTACTATCACTAAAATAACATCGTGAGATGGCACCATACTGAGGCATATCAGGGCTCACAGGAGAGGATTACTGATTTCTTTCAGAAATTATCAGAGGTAGCACAAAATCCAACCCATAAACTAGTTAACACTCTTTTAGGATGGCTGGTACTCCCTCTGAGTAAAGGCTAGCAGTAAACAAATAAATAAAATACTGGTGCTGGAAAGAATGCTAGGTGTTAAGAAAAATACTATTGTACTCACTTAGCTCAGCAGGAGCAGTGGCAGTGAAAGAGATCTAAATCATAGCAAAGAATAATTAATTTGTTCATTAAAGTTACTCTTCAGAAAGCCCATACCTCAAAATATCAAATTATGACACAGAGATTCTAAAATTAATAAATGAACTGATTTCATAGAGAAGCTCCCTGTAGAGAAAAGGGAGGAGTTTAAACTATTAATTTCTGAGGATCAGTTGCAAGACATATTTTTCTTAGAGGCAGCGAATGTTGCAGAAATAGCACTTCCTTCCAATCCCACCTCTGTGTCAAAGCTCAGGGACTCCTGTCTTTGGAGAGCTGGGTCTGCTGTCCCAGACCTGCAGCTTCAAGGTTAAAAGATATTACTGCAACCCTTCCCTCTTGGAAGGATTCTTAGCCCCATTTCACTTGCCGAGACAATGTTTCTTCTTTAGACTGAGTGTATGGAAAATACTCAGGTCAGACATCTATATTCTTTGTCTGTCATGGGACATTGAAGCAATCACCTATAAAGAAACATTTTCATTGTTATTCTGCTTTTGCTAATGTAATTTCACTTTTTATGTTGTCTCCAGCATTTGCTTGTTAGTTGTCAGTTGCTGCAAATAAACTTTTTACAGGAGCTAAATCTTTTCTCTCCCCCAATTCCAACCCTCCTACCTCTGCTTCTTTTTATGATGGCTGGATTTAATGGCGAACAGCTGGGTCCTGGAAATAGTTTGTTGGATGTTTCATACAGTTTATGAGGAGAGAAAGGAAAATGGGTGGAAAGTATGAGTAGTAGATATCTATCTCATGTAAGACTGTAGAGGGAAAGCTGTTTCATTCCACAACTGTATTCATTTTAGCCTACTAATAAGTCTCCAAGCCAGGATTATTCCAGCATTATTCCTAGTCCTACATCTGTATCTGCCCCGGTGGTGGGGAGCTGCTCTGTGTGAGCTGTGCTGCCGTGCTGTGGGACATCCCCAACAGCTCGTGCTGCAGGTCTTGTGTCAGTGGGGAGGAGGGTGGGCTGCGGGGTGAGGTGTGACTTGGTGATGTTGGATGTGCCCAGAGAAGCTGTGGCTGCCCCATCCCTGGAGGGGTTGAAGGGCAGGTTGGAGGGGGCTTGGAGCAACCTGGTGTGGTGGGAGGTGTCCCTGCCCAGGGCAGGGGGTGGCACTGGGGGGGCTTTAAGGTCCCTTCCCACCCAAACTATTCTGTGTTTCTGTATGCCTTGCTCACCACTCGGGCACTGCTAACTGAGAGTTGGCTCCTTGGCATCAGTTGCTGTTGAATTCTGTTTTTTATTGGCCATGTTTTGTGAATTATTCCACAAATACGGGTTGTGAACCCTTCTCTTGTGTGGAAAAGCAAAGACTAAAGTGTCTGTGTGTGCTCTTTGTCCCGGGAGGTGGTGCTGCTACCTGTGGACGATTCAGGTTTTTTTCAAGTTAATTTTTCTATGTGTCACTTTCACTTTACCCCGTTGACAAACAGATAAGCTACCCAAAAGCACTATCACAAGGGGCCAGCTAAGAGTTAGTGCTTCATGTTTTCCTGCAAAAACAACTTCCATGACTGGAATCCCTCTATACGCAATACAAGCATTATTACATTATTATCACAAGGGTCTCTGTTTTAATGTGTTTGTAGCATTAATGGCCATGATAATGTTACTGGAGTTTATTGGAGGAGGTAGGACGGGATTTCTCCTTACCTGGCCATCTTCAGTGTGATGCTGTCTGCAGAAAAGACAAGAGTAACTTTTAACATTTTTCAAAGAAAAACAGAATAAAGGAACGGTACACAAAGAGTGCAAGAAACAAGTTCTTTACTAGGGAATGGTGATTTTTAATGTTTCCTCATATCTGGTTATCATTAAATTGCCACCATCCAGACCCTGGAATAACGACTGAGCTGAAAATGCTATAGTAAGCTAAGAATTGTTTCTGTTTCATGAAAGTCAAAGGGTGAAGAATTGAAGTGGGAAGGAAAGAACCTCTGATCACTGGCTGCTCCAGAAAGATGGGTGAAGGTTAAATCCCTTTTAAGACCATAAGGGTAAAAATAAAGCCCATTAGTCTGCCTGGAGAAAGCTGTAAAATAAATGTCTTTAGGTAGGTGAAGATAAGTGGAACTCTGTCCAGATTTGTGCCAACTTCACAAAATATGCAACAGCAGAAAGTGCCAGGAGAGAGGAAAAGAGCTGAAAAGCACGTCATCAAGAGATTGGGTTCCCTTCCCTGGCAGGATATTACTGTGAAAACCGTTTGGTGAAATGGGATATGGTGTCATGGCATTCTAGAGATATGTCTATAGATGAAGCTTTCCATTTCTTACAACTAAAAGGGATATTGTCTTATTTCCTCCTTCAGTGCCCCAGAATGTCAAACAATGGTGATAATACATTTTGGTTTTACTGTACAATGTTTTTTAAGGAAGTGTTGTTTTAAACTGGATTACATAGAATTTTCCTAATACTGTGTTCACTGCTCTCTTTTTAGAGATAATGCTGTTCATATTGAAAAATCTAGTTTAATATTAATTGCATATGAGCATCTCCCCTAAAAAATCCTCTTTTTTAAAATACCTGATATTTCTGCCTGTGTAAGGATAAAGTTGTTCTAGCATCCCGATGGGTGCAGTGCTATTAAATACCAGGACACCATTGCTGGTCAGAAGGCCAGAGAGCTGCAGACAGCTGGGGGCTGCAGGAATTTGGGGGTGGGAGAGGAGGCAGAGTCATAGGTTTGTCTTCCTTTAATTTTCCCTGGGCTTTTAGTCACTGTTGAAAACAGGTCACTGGGATAGAGAGACCTTTTGGACTGACTCAGTGTTGCTGCTCTTACTCTAATGCTGACAATAAAAGCCTGATGTTAATCCCTTCAAGGCCAAGAGTTCAGGCTGAGGGTAAAATAGAATCTACTAAATCCAAACCTGGGGAACTCTGTTTTAGTTTTCTGCTGCTTCTACTCTAATTTTCTGAAATATATGACTGTGTACTGACCGCTACACCTCCTGTTTTAAACAATTGGGAATCTTACGCCTTGCAGATGAGTTTATAGTTGTCAGAAGTTTGCTTTTAAACAAGTTCCTCATTTAGCTATGTACAGGTATTGTCACTTCATTTCATTTTGATCATTTTATGTATTGCTCAGTGGTAGAGATTGATCATCTTCCTGTTTCACGTTGTGTGTTCGGTGTGGTGTGGCTATTCATGGGTGTAACGTACTGTCACTCCCAGCAAAAAGCCAGGGTAGGAAAGGAACAGTTCACTCCAGTGATAGCACAATAAATGGTCACATTAGAAAAGCAATATAGGTTTGCTTTGTTTCATTAAAGTAAATCTAAATTTCTCAGCTGTGATCCAGCCTCCAGGTTACAGGTTCAGAATTGTGAGCCCAGGGAAAGGTTAGGCCTTTAAAAAAAAACTAGAACCAAACTCCTCCTTTCAAATGTTAAATTCTACCGGGGCTGTTTTGCATTGCCATAGGAACATTGACTGGAAGGAAGAAGACCAATGGGTTTTTCAGACTGTGATCAATCAGTATCCAAGCAATCTTCAGAGGAGGAGGACTTTGTACCTGGATGTGCTGCAGAGATACCTTCCTCACAAGTCTCGGCATGATCTGGTCAGTGTTGTTTTAAATATTAGATCAATTATAGACATTCTTACAGAAATGACGTAGTGAACATTTGTATTAAACAATGTTTATCAAAGTCTTTTAGTTTAAAGTTTCTTAATTACAAATTTTATTCTGCACAATGAAGAAGGAATGTCCCTGTCCTCAAAATGCACGAACCTGAAAACCTGTCATTTCTCCAGAATAAGCCCTGTGGAGATTTGATAGACCCACGTACTCCTGCAGCCAGATTCACAGCGTTGGGTTGTTAGCATGGCTTTTGCTGTACACTTTTATAGTTATATCACACTATTCTGCTTCTCTTGGTATTTGTGTTTTTTATGAGGATGTATAGCATTGTGGCACTGTCTAGGAATACTTATTTTAATTGCTGTGTGGCACATATAGCAGGAAGAGCAGAAAGTTATCTCCTGCTCTCAGGGAGAGGCTATTTTTATATGCATAATGCCTTTCAAATTGATTGCTGATTCCTTTTACACTCCACAGTGAATAAGCACATAGCAGCTAATAGAGAAACCCATTTCAAGGCCAGAACACTTCAGGATGTCATAAGTAAAGCAGGAATCTTTTTTTATCTCTGCATGTATTTTTAGACCATCTACTTCCTTGTGTTTGAGGAGTGCCTGGCGCAAAGGAGTGGCAGTGAAGTGATACTGATAATTAGTGTAGTTTCACCAAAAATAAAGTTCTTGTGGATTTCAAAAGTTTTGCCTGTGAGAACTAGGCTAAATAATTACATGCTTTGTACAATGTAGCTATAATTTAAGCACAGCCACTATTAATGGATCTCCCTAATTCTTTGAAGGTTAAATTAAGACTTTTTAAATTTTCAATGAAAAATCATAATTCTGCATTGGATTGATATCTCTTAGTATGTATAATAGTGTGACAAAAACAGAAATGTAAAGGCAGGACTAAGAATCTATTCTTAAAATGTTTGTGTTATGTTAGAATACTAACTGTAGAGCCTTCTTCGCCCTGAGGAAGGATGGCTCAGTGACTGAGCACCCAGTGCTTGCTCCAGTAGCAGCTCATCAGAGGTCTGGTTTCAGAAGTGCTAACTCTCCATCCTGTTTCTTGCTTACGGGTTTCCCAGCTTTAGGTGCCTGCTAGCAAAGCTCACCTCACTTGTGGCACCTGTAAATTCCATGTGAACTTCGGAGGTGGTGGCCTATGTGCATTTCACCAAAGAGAAGCTCCAGAGGTGGTGGTACCACTTTATCTTCACCCAGCTGTGAGCTGATGGAATCTCTGTGAGCCAGGCACCAGATGTGTCAGCACTCTCCTGTCCCCTGCCAAAAGCCTGGAAATTAGCATCAGGAGTGGTCCTCCTGACACTTGTGAGGAGACAGTCATCTCCAGAATCTCCTTCATCCCTGTAACTTGTATTTTTGGGGCTACAGGACAGGTCCTTGACTCTCCTGCCTCAGTCCATGCAGCTTTATTACCACTTCTGTCAAAGTCTTGAGGCTTCAATGTCCTCAGGAACCTCACTGAATAAGGCCAAAGAAGGTGTATTTAAGCTTAAGCACTCGCTGTTTTTGTTAGGTGGTGACACTGGTGGTGGCAGTGTGCTGCTTGGCAAGCTGAACATCTATTGCCAGATTCCCTGTTAGGAAAGAAAAAGTGAAGCTAATTCTCTCCTGTTCTGCATTTGTACAATTGCATTAATTGGTTTTCTGTTTCTCGATAGATCGTAATTTGCTACAATTTGCTACTCGTCTTCCTAAAAGGGCTCAATATCTCTGAAAATAAACATTTGGAGATATACTTGCATTCTATGCAGTGTAGGACAGGAAGGAACCGTTGCAGTTAATGTATTTGTATTGCAACAGCGCAGTTCAGAAAGGAGCAGTATGGAATTCCAATTCCAGAATATGGAATTGCCATGGGACAATCTGGAGTGGTGTCCCTGCCCACGGGGGGCTGCCGCACGCCTAGTGCCTGAGAGAACACTTCTGGGCCCCGAGCGGTGGATTCCATAGAGATATTGGTGATATAACTAAACCGATTATATTTCAGGTTTGCAAAAATGTCTAGAATTACTCTAGTTTACTAATGCATAGTTTTTAAACCTTTCTGAAATGCTTTATTTTTTTAGGTTGTTCATGAGAAAGCTTGGGATCGTTACAATTTCATTAGGAGTCAGCGCAGAGTCTTGATGTTAAATTGGGCTCAGGCGAGGAAAGCCTTTTTACTGAAGGCAGTGAGGACGGCTGCAGAAGCCTCTGCTGCTCACCAGGCAGAAGCCGTGCTGGCTAGTGCCAGGCAAAAGCAACAGGAGGTTTGTGCTGAGCTGAAGGCAAAGGTAGGTTCAGTTATAAATCTAACACCTCCACATCTGGCTTTCAGTGCTCAAATGCAGTTACAGGCCTGCTAGAGTAGTTTTGAGTGGTTAGGGGACAAAAAGCAAACTGTAATCTTTTGGCAGAGATCAGCGTGTTTGTGCAGCTTGACTTGCAAATGCTTTTGAAGATGCTCCCTGATCCAGAGTCCCTCCCCATCTCTCCTGGAGCCCCTTGAGCGACTGGAAGGGGCTCTAAGGTCACCCCAGAGCCTTCTCTGCTCCAGGCTGAACCCCCCAGCCTTGTCCCCATGGCAGAGAAGATATTTACACTGTCTGAGGCTTACTTTATAACTACTTTTAACATTAGAATCCTCAGAAGCGGAAGCAAAATGTTCCATTCATCATCACTGCCACCGGTTTCTTAGATCAATGATGGTTTGTTTTCAGAGAAAAAATTTCCTGGAGAAGCTGTGGCTGCCCCATCCCTGGAGGGGCTCAAGGGCAGGTTGGATGGGGCTTGGAGCAGCCTGGTGTGGTGGGAGGTGTCCCTGCCCAGGGCAGGGGATGGCACTGGATGAGCTTTAAGGTCTCTTCCCACCCAAACCATTCTGTGATTCTCTTCTGTTTATTTTAACAATGCTTTCTAAGGCCTGAAAAAATAGATCCCGTAACTTGTTTGCCCTTGTTATGGAGGTTTCACAATGTTCTGAAAGGTGATTTACTGTGTTAAGAGGTGAAAAAAGATAAAAATACCTGGGGGTTTTTTGGTAAGAGAATAGAATAAAATGGGAGGATCCAGGACACAAGAGGAGAGTGTTACGATGTTGATGCCTAAGGCATGTGTAAGGGGAATCCCATTTCTGGGCAAGACAGGCATGTTACGATTTGTTTAAACTGCTCTCTGATTTTTCACTCGCACAGAAATGAACATCTGAAAGCAGACATGGTGGAGTGCTCTCTACCAACATTATCTCTGTTGAACCCTTACTTTTCAGCAAAACACTAAGCGCTTGATTTTGGTTTTCTACAAGTAGGAAAACACAGTAAAACCTGTACTGTGATTAAGACTTCTGATGCTGGTTTTTCACTATAGTAATAATACAGAAAACCCTGCTGCCTCCTGTTCCTGGAGCTGTCTGTCATAGGAAGGTTTGAATCTAAACACTTTAGGGCTGGAAACTGTCTGGGCTTGACGCGGTGGGGAGTGCTCATTCACACTCCTGTGGCAGGGTTCCCTGCAGCCCAGTGGGGGAAGAGCCGTTCTCCCAAGTTGGTGTGGGGTTTGGGTTGCTTTGGTGGCTTCTTCCCCCCAGGCTTCCCTTTCTGGAACTGCTGTGTGGGTCACATTTGCACAATTAGAGGTGGAAGGGTCATTTATTCCAGAACTGGGAATTTATAAGTCAGTCTTTTTTTCTTCTTTTTCTTTTTTTTTGCCTTCCCCTCAAAAAGTAATGAGCGAGTGTTGGAGAACTTGTGTTGTCTTCATGTAGCTTAGGATTCTCACTGATGCATTGAACGTTGGCTGAAGGTTTTTGGATTCTGACCTTCTGTTTGCAGTAACCTGGAGCTGTTTGAAACTTAAACTTATTAGGCCTTCACTTTTCAAGGGTTGCTTTCAAAGGTGACTTTGCTAGAATGTTGAACGTTTGATCAATAACAATTCACCTGTTTCCCAGAAAAGAGGAATGAGAAAGGTACATTTTTTTCATTGAAGAAGGATATCACAGTGACTTTGTTTTGATCAGCTCCGCAGCTGAAAGGGCTAGGGGACGGAAGCTGAAATTGAGCAAGGAGCTAGCTGGTTTTCAAAAAAACTCTTCTGAACCTATCCATGGGCTTTGTTTGGATTTGATGGGCATATGCATTTGAAAACTTGTACTTTTCCCAGTTTGAGTTAATTTTACAGACTTCTCTGTCCCCACTTGTGCAGTGTGCAGCTACAGGCTGCCGTGCTGTGGAGAGTGGCTGTTGGCAGCTATGGGGTAACCAGCAGCCTAAAGAGTGAATTTACAGGGAGAAACCCATCCTCACGAGGAGCCACGAGATGGGGTTTAACGTCAGTCTGTCTCCAAGGGAGTGAGTGCAGAGCTGGAAATAGGAGACTGGGGCTCTTCTCCCACATTTTCTTTTTGGCCATTAGTTGACTTAACTGTTTACATTTCAGTAAGTTTAGCATAAGGAAACCTTACTCGTATCACTTTCCAGAGGGAAAATGTAGTTGCTCTAAAGCTTTAGCTGTGCAGTAAACATTAGGTGTGCTGGTGAACTGTTTATGTCCTGAGTGTGAGATACAGATCTCCTTTGTAACACCAGCAGGTTCCAGAGGAAGTCACAGCATTTATATGCCTATTGACACCAGCTGTAAAATGAAGTTATGACACACACACACACACACTGTAAGATACGCAAGCAGCTTTAGAAATGCAAAGGGTTGTTAGATGCATTTTGCAGACAGAATATGCAGAAATATATTAAAATCAAAAGGGAATGTTTAAGAAGCTGTTAACGATAGAGTGGGAGAAGACTAGACTTTGAATGGCACCTTTCATTTAACTTCCAGTCAGTAAACCATTTAGCCTGGTTTACTTCATTTAAAAGGGATATCTTTCTGTAAATTTCTATGCTGCTTTGAGTTTTGCAGGGTTTTTCTTTCTCTGTGTGTGAAAATCAGTTTGTTCCTAACTGTAGTACGGATTGAGCAATGCAAAAGACAAAGAATATTCATATGTGACAGGCTATGCATTTTTTTTTATTACTGAAATAACCACATGATATTACCTAACTTTTATATGGTACTTTTATCTGTCAACAACAAACCAAAGGCATAGCAAACAGACTAAAGAATTTATTTATTTAAAACTGTCTTAAATGCACTAGAAGCAACTACACCATCAGTGACACTCTGGGCCTTGTGCCTGACAAGAGAAGATAACAATTAAAAGTAAAGCAGCAGAGAAGTTAAATGAATGTTTTATAGCAGTTCTTACTTGGGAAAAGGACTTTCAAATTCTTATTCTACGTTCCATCTCACAGAAGATCGATGTGTGTCCTTAACAGGAATCAGAGTCTCTGAGGAGGAATTTCGAAACAACTTGAGAAGCTCAGGTGAAATAAATCACGGGGGCCACATGGTAATCTGAATGAAATAATGTGTGAAATGGGTAATACTACTGAGGATATACTGCACGTTCTTCAAGAGGAAATGTTTCTGTTACATATCTTTAACAGCCCTCTTTGCTGTAGGAAAGCAGGCAAACCCAACCCATGGGGGTTACACTTCAAATGAGTGACCCAGAGTCACTCAGATGTGGTTAGCCGTACACTGTGTGGGTACAACCACTATGGGGTCCTGGAGCAGGTGCTGTGTAGAAAAATGTCTCTGTCTGTGTGAAATTCCTCTTTCTAAGCAACGCAGAGAACCAAATTCTTCTATGTCACAAGGCAGTGAAGTACTGAAGCGAGAGTGCGATCTTGTCAGAGGGTCAGTAGGGCACTGCTTCACACTTGGGGCTTGAAGGACTGAGGCACTTGCTGTAATACATCTAGAAATTCAGTCAAGGTATCTGCATGCATTCAAAACATTATTTTTCTATTGAATTTATCTTAAAATAGTCATAATCCAGTACTTTCCATCTTCATATAAAACAAATTTGAAAAGACACTCAAGGAAGAGCTACAACAGTAGAGAAAAGGTCATTGACTCTCCCATGTGTGATGCACAGGGTGGGCTTTCCCTCCCTTAGCATAAAGCTGTGTGCCAGCCTGCCTTTCAATCCTTTCTCCTTCTCTTTTTGTGTTCCAGGTTTAATCCCCACTCCAGTGCTAAAATCTCTTGTAACACATTGTGCATTTTTGGAGAGCAACTCTTGCATTCCTTATCCTGGCAGAAACTAAGATAAATGAATTTCAGAAAGAAGAGAGTTAGGTGGAATTAACTGGGATATTGCCAGCCACATAAAGCATGTTGCAGATTGCCCTCCTTCTCCCCTCCTGTATAATGAGAAAAAAGGATGTCATTAAACTTAGGGAAAAAAGTTGTATCTCCTTATTCAGTGTATAGTCAAGTCACTGGTGGGAATGATTTAACTGCCATAGGAGATCAACACAGAAATGTTACAACTGAATGTAAAAAAGAAAAGTTTGATAGGTATCAAATCTACTCCTTTAACTATAATCTGATCATTTTGCAGGAAACTATTAAAAATAAATATTTAAACAGTGGAATATTTAAAAGAAGAGTTTTCTTTTTCAGGACCATTGTCTATTCACCACTGAGTTGACCCATTCATTTGTTGGATGTGAGAAATACAAGAAGTTTTCGTAGCCTAAATTTTAGATACAGATACTAATTCAGGAAGTATGTGGTGAACTTCAGAGTTGTAGAATGCTACAGTATTTATCTAGAGTAGATGTGTACAAATATCTAAGATTTTAAAATTCACCAAGGGTAAGCCCACTCTGCCTCAGTAGTAGTTTTTAGTCCAGAGCTAACGAGCCTGGGTTTATGAGTTTGAGGTCAGCACGGCAGTGATGAATTACATGGCTTTGGGGTCAGGAGAAGCTCAGACACAGTGAGTGTGAAGCCCACACAGAGACTGTCTCTGCAAATTTTTCTTGCTTCTCCTTTCACCCCTCCTTCTTTCCTTCTGTTTTTCTGTACCACATGTTCTGTCACACAGTGATGTTATTTTTGAATCGATCGACCTCCCTATTGACATCTCCTCACAATGTGAGGACATGGCAGATTGAAGGGGTTACCATCCCAACTGTTTTCCTACCCCCCGGTGCCACTCGCAGCTCCCTGGTTGGGATGCCGCTGTAAGCCCACCATAAAAAGGCAGAAATGTTCTTCTAACTTCACTCTGGTTCAGTACACACAGAGCAATGGTAGCTATAAACCAATTTATGAAGTGTGTAAAGAGCAGACGTTCTCTATGTTTAAGCTACAAATGACAAACTAATTGTCTTTTTTTGCTAATTAATAAAAAGCCATTAGCAGAATAACCAGATTTTCATTATGT